CACACACACACACAGACACACACACAGTTTTAAAGACACCGGGAGGTTAGAAATTAATTTCAAAAATAATTAGAAGGTATTTTCAGAGGATTCGTGTTTTCAGAAGCTTAAGAATCCCCCTCTCTCTCTCTCATCCAGTTTACAGAAAAGATCTCTCAGCCATTTAGGAAAGCGATGATAGGTGTTTAAATATCTGGGATCGTTGAACAACTGAGGCCGGTGCAGGGGTTGGCAGGCAGCTCCAGGAACTCACCACGAGGCTGAAGGGCCTTCTCCTGAACAGTAATTCTGTGCTGCTCTGAAGCTTTCGGATCTCCTTCAGTACCCCAGATTTCTTCCTTCGAAAGGAAGGCGTACCTGAGCAGAAAGAGCTGGGTCACAAAGGGGCTGAGAAGAGCAAGCAGTGCCTCCCTCACAGCCTGGCACAGACCATCAAATCATTAGACAGTGACACCCTCCAGACGAACTGTCAAATTATTAGACTGTGACACCTTCCAGACGAATGGGGATTTTTTCTATTTTATTCACGGTTTTTACAGCCAGAAGGGGGCCTGATAGTAGTTCAGTGGGTTAAACGATAGGCTGCTAACTGAAATGTTAGAGGTTTGAACCCACCAAGCACTCCCCAGCAACATATCGGAAGAGATTTGAAGGTAGTGGGTTTGGGCTATCCCCAGAAAAGTGCAGACACGTACTAAAGAAACATTTTTTTAAGTGAATGAATCAATCAGTGGTCTAAGGTTTAACTCAATTGCCAACTCTTCCATGAACCTGTTCCCAAATATCAATCCCTTCCAAACTGATGGGTCCCACACTACTTTGTGCATTCATATGCCTTACCCACATAGACTGGAAACACAGTTTTTCAGTTTTCTTTTGAAAACTGAGAGAACATCTGCTGGCATCTCCTAATCTTAGTGATCCTGAGGCCCAAGGAGGAGAAGACAGTTGGTCTAGATTCACAAACAGCTGTGGTGGGACCTCAGAAGGGGCCCAATTTCATGAAACACAGACACTGAGGCTATGGAGTCTATCAAATCTTGGTCCCAACAAGAAGAAGAAATGAATCTTAAAATCATTCCAAATAGTAGAAATCATGAAATTCAAACTCTCTGACACCATGAGCTCTGCTGTCCACCCAAAGGCATGCAGTCTGTGGGAGAAATACAAAGAATTTCCTCTACATGATTTACAGTCTCTGGACCCACTGGAGGGTCAGCTATGAGTTGGTTCTGACTCAAAAGCACACAACATTGGCAGAAAGTGACAGACACTATCTTATCAATATAGATACTGACAAACACCATATGACACTAAAAATTCAAAATACAAAAGTATGAAAAAAGAACTCTTCTAAATAATTCAAGAGACCTAATTGAAATGAGACCATTTAGAAATGAACAATAAAAAAATGTATACCTCTTCAGAATCTCTCTCAGAGAGATGCAAACCAAAACAACTATGAGATACCATCTCACCCCAGCAACAACACTAAAATTCAACAGAGTGGCAAAAAACAAATGTTAATGAGTTTGGGAGAGATTGGAACACTTATCCACTGCTGGTAGGAGTGTAAAAGAATACAGCCACTACAGAAGGCAATCTGGTGCTTTCTTAAAAGACAGACATAGAAATATCATTTGACCCAACAATTTCACTACTGGGAATATACCCTAAAGAAATCAGAGCCACAATTCAAACAGATGTATGCACCTCCATGCTTATTGCTGCATTATTCACAATAGCAAAGAGATGGAAGCAACTCAAGAGTCCATCAACAAATGAATGGATAGAAAAACTATAGTATATTCCCACAATGGAATATTAAACATCAGTGAAAAATTAATTCATAAAACATTACACAACACAAGGGAGCCTGGAGGACTTTATGTTGAGTGAACTATCTCGGTCACAAAAAGATAAATACTGCATAACACCATTCTTATAAAATAGGACTACATGAGGGGGTAGTGGGGAGAACAGAAAAAGAGTAGATAAATAATGAACACTACATTGGAATAGATGAGGGGAAGAACGGTCCAAAAGGCATGTATGATTAGGTATTATATGTGTGACAACAATCTGGAACAAGAGGTGCATTACAAAGTATACTGGGGGAGGGGATAAGTGAAGAAAATTGTGCAACAATGAATGAATAAAAGCATTTTAAGAAACCAACAAAGCAGGGAGCGCTGGTGGCCTAGTGGCAAGAAGCCACACTGAAATCCCAGAGGTACGTGGTTCAAATCCACCAGATGGTCTGCTGGAGAAGGAGGGGCAATCTCCTCTTGTACCTGTCAAATCCAATTTGATGGTATATACAAACAAAAATAATAAAATAAAATTTAAAAAAAAACCCAACAAACCAATAAAGCAACAATGAGTTTGGTTTTGTTTTGTTTTGCTTTTTTCAAAGAGAAAAGCGAACTGGGGTGGTTAGGGAGGTAAAGGTAGAAGTGCAACAATGAATGGAAATCCAAGTTCTCTATAAATTTTCGTTTCTCAATTAAAATAAAAAGTTAAAAAAAGAAAACCAACCAAAAAACGTGAGAGGAAGCAATAAATATTGAAAAAGTACACTCAAACCTAGGAAATTTAGTCAAAGTTTTACTATAGAAAAATGTATAATTGTATTAGAAAACAAGACTATTAAGATAGTGGAGCTAAGTATTCAACTCAAAGATCAGAACAAGAGAAACATTAAAGATAATGGGACATATTAATAAAAAAAATAGCATAGCTGTTCAACAGATAAAACCAATAGCCAGTAAAATAGGCAAATCTCTTGGGGAATCAGATGGCCTCTTCATCAAGGTCTTATAATTCCTACCAAATGACTAAGTAGGATTATGCATATTAGGCACTCGAGGCACAATAAGGGGATTTTTTAATAGCTTGTTAATAATGTCAGTAAGGTACATGGCATCCTTGTGGAGTTGGAACCAGGCAAATAAGGGAGATCTACAGAGGGATTTAGAGGGCTCTCTGAAGCGTTTGTTGCAGAAGATCAAGGACTGCAGCCTTCAATATGGATTGAAGCTCAACATCAAGAAAGATTCTCACCACTGGGCCAATTAGCAGCATCATGATAGATAGTGAGGAGATTGAGATTGTGAACAGCTTTAGTTTGCTTGGCTCCACAATCAACATTCTTGGCACCAGCAGCCAGGAAATGAAAAGACAAATTACATTGGGAAAGTCTTCTGTCAGAGACCTCTCCAAAGTACTGAAGAGCAACAATACTAGTCTGGAGAGTAAGGTGTGCCTATTCAGGCCATGGTCTTTGCAATCACTTGCTATGCATCGGAGAACTGGACAATGATTGGGTATGATAGAAAAATTGATGTCTTTGAGCTGTGGTGCTGGAGAAGAGCATTGAATATACCTTGGACTGCTAAGAGAACAAACAAGTTTGTCCTGGAGAGGGTTAAACCTGGCTACTCCTTGGAGGCAAGGATTCTGAAGCTCCATCTGACGTACTTTGGACATGTTGCAAGGTGGGATCAGTCCTGGGAGTGCTTGGGAGGGTGGAAGGACAGTACAGAAGGCGGCCCTGGATGAGATGGATTGATTCAGTGGCTGGGGTAATGGGGTAGGTGTGTCAGAGACACTAAGATTGGCACAGGATAGACCACAGTTTAGGGCTGTTGTACACAGAATCGCTAAGAGTCACAGGCGACTTGATAGCACATAACAACAGTGGCCTAATAAGTAAGGAGTTGCAATGCTAATCCAAAGGCAGGTGGTTCAAATCCACCAGCTGCTTTGAAGGAGAAAGATGGGCAATCTCCTCCCACGTGATTTACAGCCTCTGGAAACCTGTTTGAGGGTCAGCTATGAGTCGGTTCTGATTTGACAGCAACAAGTGAGAAAGTAAATCTAGAGAAATGGGTTAGTTGGGCCATCCTACTAAGCTTAAAATGAGCCACCCCAAAGGCAAGAAGGGAGGACTTGACTGTCAGCACAAGAGATGGAAGCACAGTACATCCCTGTGCTGGGAACAGTGAAAGATGGCGGCAGAACAAGATTGGCAAGGTGGCACAGGAGGCTGCCTGGCCCACCGAACAATATGGTTACAGTGGGTGCACTGACCTATGGAATAAGAAAGCTGGAATAGGAGGCCAGAGACAAACCTGTGGGCACAGGTGAGATTGTCCTGGCTGAAGAACTGTAAACTGAGTTGATCCTGATCCTGAATGGTGACCTTTTATAAACCTATAAATGAGGTCTGTGAGTTTTGTGTGACCATTGCAGCAGGTTTTAGCAGAACTTCCAGGATAAGACAGAGTGGGTAGAAAGGCCTGGTGATGTACTTCTGAAAATCAGCTAAGATCCTGGAGATCACAATCCTACGATCCAAAAATGGATTAGGGGGTGGCACAGTAACAGGCAGTATGTTGTTCTTTGTATGGAGTTACCATGAGGTAGGGGCTAACTCAATCGCTGGCAGTGGGTGGAGAAGGTAGGGTATGTGGACAAAAAGAGAGTAGCATCCAGAATGACTGGTGAGATTTGGGAGAAAGGAGCCCCCAGACCAGGAGATAGTGACTGGCATCCACCTGTCCCTTGCATTTGTTAACCCGGCTCCTGGAGGCAGCCTTTAGTACAAAGATAAAGCAGTCATGGAAAATATAGATGACTAAAACTAAAATCCATCAAACACCTAAAAAAAAAAACCTAACATCCCAAGAGGAAATAAACTTAAATCAATACACAAGTATGTCAATTTATAAAGGAAACAATGTACTCACCCATTGCTGTCAAGTCAAGCTGATTCATACCTGACCCTGCAGAAGGTCTTCAGAGGGTGTAAATCACCCAGAAAGAGAATGCTCATCTTTCTCCCCTGAAGCAGCAGTTGGTGGATTTGAACTGTATGCCTTTGGGTTGGCAATCCAACTCTCTACCACCAGGTCCAGATAAGAGGAAATAGAAAGGCCCAGAGAACATGAGAGGACATGGCCAAGAGCCCATGTAGAAGGAGAATTGACTTTTGAAAGAAAAGGGAACATTCATGTCCTTTAATGTGAGAAGCTGAGGAGAATGCAGCCCAAGGGCCTTTTTCATTTAAGTCCAGGCAAAAGTCTTGCTCACGAAAGAGTGGGGAAATGAGATGTGGAAGAGAGTCAAGGAAGCAGAAAAAGATATTCGGCAGTCACTAGTTACCAGACAATTGCCTTATCTGGCAATAAGGCTTCCAGGTGTCTAGTGCCATCTGAGAGAAAACTTTTAGTTACAATAAGGATGCTTCTAGATCAGAAAGCAACAATCATACTGTACAACACACTTGTTAAACCCACAAGTAGGAAAAGCACTGGACTTACTTCAACACAAGGGCCTCGCTAATAGAGTTGCTGTTGTTAGGTGCTGTTGAGTTGCTTGCAACTCACGGCTACCCTATGCACAAGTAGCTGAATCCTTCCCGATCCTAGCCAATCTCACTGTCTCTCACACCCCTACCCCTATTACAGTAAAAACCACAAATAAAATGCACAAAATGTAAAAGGAACATTCAAAGGTCATTAGTTGTAAAGAACATAAAGCTCTTCTTAAAAATTTCAAATGAAGCAAACTCAAAAACTATGAGGATTAACAAGAGACTTTAGGAAGGCAGCTAGATACAAAGGTTATTTACATTTTGTTGTGTGTGTCATTGAGTTGGACACAACCCATAGCTGACCCTCTGGTGGGTTTTCAGAGACATGGGGGAGATTGTCCATCCTTCTCTAGCAGTCGAGTGGCTAGTGGCCTCTAACTGCGTGCCTTTGGGAAATCCCATTCATAGCAGCAACATTCATACAGAGCCTATGGCACACTTCCTTATCCACTCTGCCCTTAGCTATGTAATGAAAAAGCCCGAAGATAAAAAAAGCAAGACATCCAAGGGAAAGAAACCAGGACCACAAAGTTTGTCCTCCTTTCCAGGGACACAGCTTCTGGAAGGAAAAAGACCCTTGAGTTAAAGCCTTTGTGCACAAGGAAGAAGAAAACCCTGAGAAGCTAGCTAGCTCCCTTTCTAATGGTAGGATTGTTTGAAATTGCTACATTAAAGCCGTGATCTTCGTGCAAACTTTAAAGCACACATGTTGTTGTGGACCGTTGACTTGGAACAGACCCATCCATAGCTGACCCTCAGGTGGGTTTTCGGAGGCAGTTAATGCCACGGGAGAAGACTGCCCATTTTTTTTCCCTCAGAGCAGCTGGTGGCCTTGAGCCACGTGCCTTTGGGATTGCAGGGCAGTTTCTTGCCCAGAATCCTACACCTGCTAGAAGCAAGTTATTTGGAGTTAGCATATCAGTTTTCTCATTATCTGGACAAGTAGGGTCCAGATAAACATGGGATAATGTATAATGCTGTAAAAAAGCTTAAAACAAGGCTCTGTTAATGTTTAAAGCAATGATAGCAACAATAAAACCTGAGTTACTGTGAAGCTGATTCCATTTGGTGGTGACCCCATGTATGTTCCAGCACGGCTAATATTTCAGAAGCGGCTCACCAGGCCTTTCTTCCAGGTCGTTAGTGGTAAGCTCTCAATAAACCTTGTTGTGTACTGTTGACTCAGAACCGACTCATAGTTGACCCTGCAGCGGGTTTTCAGTGGTTTGTAAACTGCACAGGAAGAGACTGCTCATGTGCCTCCCGGAGCAGCGTGGTGGATTCGAAACTCAGACCTCTAGGTTGCCAGCACAACTTACATTAAGCCACCAGACCTGGTTCTCCGGCTTTTTCCCTTCTCCAGCCCCTCGCTAGCCTGATCCTTAGCCGCTGCCTGATCCCTGGTGGAGGGCCAGGGTGGGGAGAATCGGGTCCTACTGGGGGTAAGCGACTCCCCTTCCCTCTGTGATAAGGGAACAGAAAGGCGGCCGTGCTCCTTCGCGGAGGCTGCAAGGAGGCTAGCTCTGAGGCGAGGGGTCTGCAGCTCGATTACCTAAGGGGGGAGGCCTCCGCGAGGTTCTGGGGCTCGGGGATGAGGGCCGCCGCGGGGTTCTGGAGCTCGGGGTTGAAGGCTGTCGCGAGGTGCTGGGGACCGGGGAGGAGGGCCGCCTCGTCGGAGCTACGGGCTTGCGTCTGCGGCGCGGGGCCATCACAGGGTGCAGAGGGGTCGGCGCTCGGCCGCGAAGCAGGCCTAGGGGACCCGAGTTTTCTAGCACTCACTCCTTTTTCAGATTCTCAGGAGAAAAGACAGAGTCTGGGGGCAAGCTGTCGGCGCGCTACGGAGCAGTTGTCGCTCAACCACTGCCGGTAAGTTCAAATCGCCCGCTCCGCCCACACTGAGGCCGCAATTTCTAAAACCCAAATTCAGGGACTCCCACTGGCTGACTCTGGAATGGCCAACTAGAGCTACCTAGGAAAGGACCAATGAGAGCACGAAGTGAGAGACAAACCGCCTGGCCGTGATAGGAGCAGAGTAAAGATTGACGGCCCAGATGACCAATCGACACTGGAAGAATTAAGTCAAGGCGGAGATTTCGTATGCCTGTTGTTGAGAGCGTTCTTGTTTGAGGAATCATCAACCCCTGCTCTGTTTACCTGGCCTGGGACAACTGAAGTCACTACCGTGGAGTCCATTCAGAACCATAGCAATCCTGTAGTATGGAGTAGAACAGCTCCATAGGGTTTCCGAGCCAGAAATCTTTATTAGATCGCTTCATCTTTATCCCTCTAAGCCGCTGGTGGGCTTGAACTCCCCCACTCTGCCCGTTGGGTTAGTAGCTTGAATGCCTTACCCACAGCAACACCAGACTCTTGCTCATCAAACTCATTGCCTTTGAGTTGAATCAACTGACCCTCCTTTGGGTTTCTGAGACTATAATCAGCATGGGAGAAATTTGCCCATCTTCTTCAGAGCAACTGGTAGATTCAAACCAGTTGCGCGGCGCTTGGGTTAACAACTGCGTAGGGAGTACTCACTACCAGAGCTACCCACCAACAGGGCAAGTTCAGTTCGGAAGACGTAGATGCTGCATTTGTAAGCCACACTTGTCTATGTAAGTTACTTTTCCTTAAAATGTTTTTGGGTTGGACCTGTCAACTCTGAGATGGCACTTAGAGATCAGGAAAGGGAGACTCTGAAAATGTCAATCCATGTTCCTGTATTGCAGAGGACAAACTGCTGCATCGGATCTCTTTTATGTGTTAGAAAAGCAGAGATGTCACTTTGAAGATCAAGGTACGTGAGACCTAAGCCATACTCTTTTCAATTGCCGTATATGCATGCAAAAGTAGAATAATTAATCAGGAAGATCAAAGAAAAGCTATTGTCTTTGAACTATGATGTTAGCAAACAATATTGAATAGAGTATATTTAATATGTACCAGAAGGATAAACAAATAAATCTGTTTTGGAAGTAGTACAGCCAGGATGCTCCTTAGAAGTGAGAGTGGCAAAGGCTTCATCTCATACTTAGGATATGTTATCAGAAGGGACCACTCCCTGGAGAAGGACGTCTTGCTTAAACAGAAATCATGTGGATGGTACAGGACCAGGCTCTGTTGAACGGACTCAGTGGCATGTCACTCTTATGAATCATGAACACCCTGAAAATATGACTCAGAAGCTCTTTAAACTTCATGAACTTTATTGATCACAAAAGATCTAGAAGACAACCAAGGTAACTTGGTGATGAGTTCTAGGCAGGGCCAGCCTCATTGCTCTTCCTGGATCACATTTCTGACTCAGAGGTTTTTTTCATTTTGATGGATTTGATGTTGTCCTGCTGGAGAAAATACAAACAGAATTCTTAGGGAGAAAAAACAAAAAAACCCAAAAATCAACCCATAACAAAACACACTTATTTTACGGTTTCCTTTTTTTTAAATTTTCTAGTTGCATCGCCAACCCAAAGGTGTGGTTCAAATCCACCAAATGCTCCACTGGAGAAAGATGGACAATCTCCCTCTGAGTGATTTACAGCCTCTGAAAACTCACTAGAGGGTCAGCTAAAAGTCGATTCGCACTCAATGGTACATAACAACAATAACATGATCTATAGTAAACTTGTACTAAATCAGGAAAAATACTAATTTAAAAAGAAATTCTTTCAAGTCAACTTGTATGCATCTATTATAGTGTTTAAGAGCATACTTTTTAGAAATAAGGGAAGCCAGTTCAGACCTGCTTCTATGTGTGAGGACCAGTTGCCTCACACATCAGTTTTCTCATTTGTAAATGGGCATAATCATTATTATTATTTACCTGCTGGTAAGGGTGGAGGGTCAGAGAAAGAAAGACCTCCAACAAGATGGATTGACACAAGACTGTAACAAGAGGCTCAAACACCTCAGAGATTATGAAAAATGGCACAGGACAGGGCGAGGTTCAGATCTGTTCACAGAGTCACTAAGAATTGTAGGTGACTTGATGCCATCCAACAGCAACAATGGTATTTTGAGAGTATGGAATAGAATAAGACTAGACAAGAACTAAGGCAATCTGCTAAAGGCTAAAGTAGTGATACAAACCTTGGAATTGTGATGAAGTGTTAACAAGGAGGAACAAGCACTGGCTAAAACCATTACCCTGAAAATTACTAGGTATGGCACTGTGCCATAACGAGGGAACTGGGAACTTCTTGGTGGAAGGCATTAATTAGGGTCTGAGAGTATTTGGGAGCCTGCCTCAAGAAGGCAGAGCAGAATCGTGGTGATTAGGAGGGGCTTGGGAAGGTGAGGATGGCTTTTTGTGTCAAGTAAAGATCATAGGCTGAGAAGAGGCAAAAAGTTGCTTTTAGGTACTGTGGAGTCTAATTCAATTCAAAGCAAATACTGCATAGCCCTGCCCATTCTTCACAATCATTGCTCAAGGTTTTGAGCCTTATCCAAGCAAATCATTTGCCAAGAAAAGGAGTAACTGAGGGGTCTCTTGAGAAGAAGGTGGAGGGTTACTCTAAGGTGTGGGGTTTGATGGAACCTGTATAATCTCACGCTCTTTGCTGGGCCACAGATTCACTGTAGTTTGTCTTTTGTTCTTTAGCTTGTTAAGTCAGATCTAGTGGACAAATGTTATACTTAATTAGTGGGCTGCTTATACTCCAGTTGAGAGGGCCAAATGAAATTTCTGAGTTTTAGATATTGTACCTTAATGTCCTTTCCCTTCTTCCCCATTGCCCCAGTCAGAGAAATCATGTAGTCATAGAACCAAAAAGTGTTAAATCTGACTTCTTCTTCTTCTTGTTTGGTGCCATCGAGTTGAGTAAGACTCATAGCGACCCTATGAACAAAAGATCTGAAGCCTGTCCTGTCCTGTGCCATCCTCACACTTCCTGACCATTGCAGCAGTCACCGTGTCCTCGTTTCAACTAACTTCCAGTCTGGGCTCTCCCACTCCACTACTATTACTCTCCTCTTTGTTTAGTGTTCATAGGGTTTTCAACAACGGCGTCCTCCTTCCCTGCATCTGTGTATCTGAAGAAAGTCGAGGGACAAATCAAACCCTGGAGAGGAATGCAGGTGATGAGTAATGCAAGGTCATGGATTCTAAGAGTCTTCACTAACAGCTACTTGGATTTCCTTGGCTAAGAGTGAGTCAGTCAGTCATTGCTGAGGCGTGGAAACTGACTCACAGATGACACTCCAGGGGCTTTTCAGGCTATAAATCATATGGAGGAGATTTCCCACCTTTCTCTCTCGGAGCAGCTGGTGGCTTTGAACTACCTGCCTTTGGGTTGGCAGCACAGAGAAAGTAAATTTTTATTAGCTGTAGGTGGTGTAATCAGTTTGTCATAGATTGATTACCATAAGGTTGGCTGAGGAAAAAAAGCCTCAAAGACCTGCTTTTGTAAAGATTATGAAAACAAAACAAAGTGATTCCAGCTCATAGCAACCCTTTAGGATAAAGTAAAATTGTCCCAAAGGTTTTGAAATACTGATCTTGCTGTTTGCAACTAAGTGCTTAACTTTGGCTCCAAAAGAAGTCCTTCTAAAAAGACTGCTATTGAATACCATTGAGTCAGAACGGACCTACAGCTGACCCTCTGGCGGATTAATCACATGGGAGAAGTTGCCCATCTTTCTCTGGTGGAGCATCCGGTGTATTTGAATCACATGTCTACTGGATGGCAGCAAAGCTTCTTACCATGAGGCTACCAGAGATTTCTATAAATTTACAGCTTTGAAAAGCCTATAGGAACTCTTGTGGAGATGCCTTGAGGCATGGACAGAGTGGAAGGCAGCTAACAATGGCAACATACATAAAGTTGAACCATCCAACATGGAGACGTCTTGGCCACATAGAATCCTGGAGTGCTGAAATGTAGCTAGTCTGAAGTACTGTTAAGTGTGAAAGATATGCTGATTCTTGAAGGCTTACTAAACAATGTAATATAAAATAGTTCAATAAACAAGTAAGGAAATGTTCCATTATGATGAAAAGAAACACAATGATTTGATAGAATAATGTAAGAACGGTAGTAATGGACCATCTCTCTGTGACGTCTGTCTGTGAAGGTGAGATGTAAGTCAAAGCCTGAAGTATGAAAAGGAGTCAGCAGGTAGAGAAGGGGAGGAATGTGCCAGGAAGTGGAAGTAACCGTAAGTGCAGAGATTCTGACCCAGGGAAGAGTGTCGCATGTGCCTGGAAATGGGAAGGAGGCCAGGGAGGGGAGCTAGCGACTTTAGGTCAGGATGGCTGTTTTTAGCTGTTGCCAAGATGGCAGCTGGCTTATGAAAACCCCAAGCAAATGGGACCAGATAGCTGTGGTCATCAGGGTTTTCACGGGAGATTTCCAGAATTAGATCTGCAGGCCTTTCTTCCTAGTCTTAGTCTGGAAGCACCACTTATTAGGAGTTTTTTTAGGCAAAACAGCAACAGGCAAGAAAGTGATAGCTGGGCTTGATGAGCCCTGGCCAGGAACTGAACTCAGCATGAAAACTTACAGTCATTGAAGCTGAGTCAATTCTGACTTAAACTGACCCCACAGGACAGAGTAGAACCACCCTGTAGGGTTTTCAAATCTGTAGCCTGTAGAGTGACATTGTTTTCCATTGGAGTGGCTGATGGGTTTGAACTACTAACCCTTTGGTTTGTAGCCGAACAACCACAGCATCATCAGGGCTTCTTGAACTGGCATAGAAGACAAGAATTTTA